CCCACAAATACCATATGGGAGATTCACTGCTAATTTGTGTATACTCTTCACATTTATAGGATCTAATTGTACGATTTGAAAGATGTCTTAGAAGCAAAATTGGAAGACAGGATATCCACCTCAAAGTACCAAGTCTGCACTTTTGAAGAGAGACCATTACACCCTTTCTCCCTATTAAAATGAGTTATTGGAGAGGACTCAATATGGGCAGTGAACTCTGGCAGTTATAACAAGGTAAGAGAAGGGCAGATTCCCTCAAAATGCCTGGCTCTTTTATCATGACTATTTTTATATGGGATTCAGCCTTAGGGCTGGTCAGAAGGACCAAGGCAGACACTCCAGTTTGTTACATGAGTTACGTTAATAAGGCCATTACTGTGAATTGCTCTCCCATGCTTCTGTAACTGATGGATCTGACTTGGTCTGCGAAGCTGCAAGGACACTATCAATAAAGGAAGAGAACTTGACTGAAGTTTTCAGCAATATTCAGCTAGGATGTTCCTTCTAAACTCTGCTGAAAAGCAAGTAACTTGTGAAGTTGCTCACAAAAAAACTACTAATATTTAAATCAGCAATTATTCTACAGAAATGTCAGCTCCAGTAACAGTAATATCAAATGATCCAAAATAACAGGTTTGACAGATATCCAGAAATTCAGAGTACAGTCACTTGATCCATAGCACCATCAAGAGCTGGGTTCCTCATCCTTTGCCTTTAGAGCTCATCCTCAAATTTAGGCCCCTTGAATACTCTATTTCCCTAATGGGTGAAGGACAGATAAGGGATTTCCATGCTATTCTCCCATCCTGCTAGGGCCCTTGACAATCATCCATCCATGCTCGTTGGATGGGCTGAAACATGGCTGCTCCGCATCACACCAACACTGGGTATATTTGGAACCTGGCAGTGGCTACTGCGATTCTCACCCCACTTCCATGGCAGGCTCTCCCGTATTATTTGTACAAAAATATATGTACACAAATGTTTGCTGAATAAATAAACATCCCCCTTGCTTAGGCTGAGAGCTCTTCTGTAAGCATGAGCTGGGTCTTATTCATTTTTTTGCCTCCCACAACATGTACATACAGTGAACTTCAAGTTAAGACGTGTTTAAATCCATAACCCCTGCTAAACCTTCCATCGTGAGAGATGAGTGGGGTTGCCCCTGAGGGGCAACCCCCAGTCCAAGTCTACAGGGGCTCCTCTACAAAGAGGCAAATTTGAAATGCCTCATTCTCTAAGGAATTTATACATGTGAATAGTAATGGCTAACATATGAGTGCCTGCTGTGGGTCAAGCAGGTAAGCATTGGAACACACATCTTAGGAAACAGTCTTAGATTAAGCCCATGTCTTAGGTCAGTCAGCCAAAATGTGGAGGAGCTAGGATTTCAGTCATGGCCGGACTCCACAGTCTGTGCTCTTAACCGCTGCTGACTGGATAACTGAGGAGTGACACAAAAGTGGATTGAGAATGGAATGGCCATTCCAGACTATCTGTCTTGAAGTCTAAAAGCATCAGGAGGAAATGATACACCATGATCGCAACATCAGCTGGCAGAGGAGATGACTTGACCTTATCAGGAACCAAGAATGAGTAAAATGGTCCCAGACACCAGCCTCTCCAACTCCAACTCACTGGGACTTACCAGTATTTTTGCTCTTGTCAAAAAGAATCTCAAAAGGAATTTGACTTTATGTAAATGAAAAGCCAAAAGATTAAAATTTTGAAGTAATAAAAGCCCCCTGAACCTCAAGGAGAAAAACAAACATCCTGTTCTTAGAAAAGAGCATTAAGTGCCGTTAATTCTTTTCCCAGAGGAAGCACGTGCATGGGGTTGCACACAACCACAAGGCTTTCACCAGGGACAATAGCTCCCTTCCCTCGCTGTTGACACTTCACTTCACTTCCCTCTTAACTTTCCGAAACCAAGAACTCTGTGTTCCTTACATGGAATGTCCTCCCACCTTCTTACCATCAGCTACTATTCATAACATCCTCCAAGACCTGCTTCGGTCACTTCCTTCCTAGAGGAAATCCCTAACCCACCTCACGCAATCCAGGCTCATTACTGCCTTGCTTGGAGGTTTTCTTAGGGCTCCAGTAGAGCTTATATTTCTGTTTTTTCCTGTTCTCTGTTTTTTTGATTTTATGTCTGATATCTCCAGGTGGGTAGTAAGCTCAATAAGAATGAGGTAAGCAAAGGTCCTATAAATAAGAGCTACTGCTAATAAAAATCCCCTTCTCTTTATGCTGGATCACTTACAGAGCCTCCTCTGGGGCTATGAACATGAAAGGCCCTCGAATTTTATAAAATAAGCCCTTTTAGTTTTCCCTCTGCCCATTCCTTAGGTCAAGGGTCTGAGAAGTACAACAGGCGGGCCCAATCCTCCCCCGGCCTGTTTATGTAAATAAAGTTTTATTGGAACACATCTATGTGTTCATTTATGTGTTGTCTGCAGCTAGTAGTTTCTCAGCTGAGGGTGATTTTGCTTCCCAGGTGACATTTGGCAATGTCTGGAGATATTTTTTATTCTAATGACTGTGTGGGGGGGTGGGGGGCGGGGGCGGTGGTGCTAAGGGCATCTAGTGGGTAGAGGTCAGGGATGCTGCTAAACATTCTACAGTGCACAGGACAGCCCCCCACAACAAACAATTATCTGGCCCCAATTCTCAGAGATTTGGAAAGCCTGGTAGAGCTACTTTCATACTACAAGGTCAGAGGTGAGTAGCTGTGACAGACTGTATGTGGCTATCAAGCCTAAAATACTAACTGACACTCTACGGAAAAAGTTTGAACCCCTGCCTTAGATGTTGGTATTTTCAGTGTTGGATGGTTGCTGTCCACCCCCAACCCTCAACAATCCTCCTGCAAATGGCTTCAACTACCACCTCTAATGATAACTTCCAAATTAGTGTCTTCAGCCCACACATACCTAAGTCTAGACCAGCGCTACTCTAAGTGGGTCTGTGGACCAGGGCCAGCCCATGACAAGCTAAGCAAAGCAACAGAAAGTAAGCTTCTAGAAACTTCTTGACATAACAATCAAGCACATGATCTGTGGATTTTTCTCGCTGGTCAGAATACTGACAAGTTTGGGAGCTATGGATCATCAGGTTTGCGGGGAGCTGGATGTGGCCCAAGCAGCTGCTCATTGTGCACAGCACTATCAGTATCAGTAAACGACGGATTGGAAATTGAAACAAACAAAACCAGGAAAACACTGATCCTTCACAGAAAGCAGCACTGGACATTTCTCCCCTAGTCTTTTAGACATCTCCACTTTGCTTCCCTCCAGTACTTCCTATTCAACTTGTCCCAGAGCGAATTTGCCGTCTTTCCTCTTCTTGCCTGCCCTGAGATACGCCTCCTGTACCTTCTTCTCTTGGTGAACAGCAGGAAGTCACCCAAATCCAGACCCCAGTTGTCATCCCCAATTCCTCCCCTTGCCTCATTCTCCACATCAAGTCCCATCATTATCTCCCGTCTTGTCCATCCCACTGACTCGGCCTTACTTCTAGCTAAAGATCTCTCTCCTGTAACAAGAACATTTGCCTCCCCGCCTGTCTCCCTGCCTCCAACCTCCTCTCCTTCCACTTTATCTTCCAGTCTTTATCAGAGTGAGCCATCTAGAATGTTCATGTAACCTTGTCACTCTCAGCTTCCAATGGCACCCCCACCCTTGCAGCCTGGAGATAAGATAGGTTATGAGGCTCACTTTAGCAATCTGGGTCCTGCCCATCCCTCAGCTACATCTCCTGCCAGTTCCCCAGAGCCTCTAACCCGGAGCTCCTGTAGGACCTTGTTTACCTCAAACCTACCAACACTCAACTGTAATCGCTACTTGTCTCTCCCTCTAGGCTGCCTTCCTCCCGGGAGAGACAACTATATTTAATCCATAGTTGGTATTGAATAAATGTTTGTTGAATGAATGAACATATGAGAAAGTTCGACTTCCTTTCTCTTCAACCCTGCCTGGCCTGCTGAAAACGCAGGCTGGAGTCTTTCTATGACTCCTACAGAAAAAAATAAACAAAATCAATTAACAAGGAGTTAGCCTCTTCTCTCGGGGCAAACGCTTTCTTTCATTTTTCCCTCTGTAAGATGTTCTAACATTTCCCCATCCATGCAAGGTAAGAATTTAAAAGCCTACCAGTGCAAGCCTCAGTAAGTCTACAGGTTCTTACAGATCTTTGGGATTAAGGCAAAGAATATCTGTTGACACGCTGTTTGAAAGGGAAATGACTTCTATCCATGACTGCAGTGTGCAAATAAGTCTTAGAGAGACAGGCAAGACTCAAGAAAAATTTGACAATACATTCCCTGAATGCAGACTCCCTAGTTATATTTCAGTCACTCTTCAAGAAAGAGGCCCTGGAGAAACACTGAGCTCGCTCTCCTGACCTTTCCTTTCAAAAGGAAATGGGTTAAGGGGGAACCTGGATTATTTGGCCCAAGACGTACAAAGGAACTTCAAGAAACTATAATGGACATTCTATAAAAAAGAGTTGTTTTGAATATCAATGTGCCATTAGGTAGTTAAAAAAAAAAAACGCCCTTTAAAATGAATGAATGTGTGGGCAAACAAAAGAGCAGCCAGAGCTCTCACTGCTGGTCTAGCCCTTAGGGTGGAAGAACTGAGCCAAAACTTTGGGCCAGCCCTGTAGGATCCCTGTAGAACTCCAGACACGTGGGTGCCAGTTACTTCCTGTGTAAATGGAGATAATTACTCCAAACCTGCCTATCTCACAGCTAACTTTAAGAGCTGAGTGTGAAAATCTTCATAACAAGAGAGGGCTATGCAAACACAAAGCACTATCTTTATCCCAACTGAAAAACCAGAACATCTACTGAAATACATTCTAATTGCCAAAATAACCACTTCCATTTTCTCCTTAAATGTTGCCTGTAGCAGTCATCAATAAAATGGTTGCAGATGGGACCACAGTCGGTTGTGTCTGCCCTGTGAACAAGCTCCACAATTGGAAGGGATTCCTACCTGCCTCCAGCTTGATCAGAGGATAATTCCTTCCGTCAACGGGACCAGGGCTAACTTCTCCTATATGCATCCTCTATCTCCAGGTCCAATTCTTCCAGCCTTGAGAACAAATGGGTCTTCTTTGAGTTGGGACGATTACAATCAACAATTATTGGTCAGATAAAGAAAAATGTAAGGGCGTACTGTTATTTTCTTTAAGTATTTGGTAAGCTGTCAGGTGAGAGGGAATCTGTATGGTCCCAAGGAAAGAACTAGGCATGCAATTAAGGTTCATGAGGAGGCTGAGCAGGACTGGACATAAGGAAGAAGTCTAAAACTTGACTTAATAGTCCTAGAATGGGAGAGGCCCATTACAGGAAGTTTTCCCTTAAGTGTGAGATTGCTGAGGGATTCCAGAGGGAAGGGAGGGAGTGGGGGAGGGTGAGCATGCCAGCACTGGGACAGGAGCTAGGGTAGACATCTTCTATTCCATGTTCCTATCTTGAAGTAGCAGCCCCTGGTATGTGCACGTAAGCTACAGGTCCATACAAAGAGTTGATACGATCATAGATTTGTCCTTATGATTTATTTGTATTTAATATGACAAAGTATTTTAGGACGGTGGTTCCTCACACTGTGTTCCCTGGCACACTGAGGGCTGAAGGAAGGCTGCTGAGACCCCGGTGAAGGGAAGGGAGACTGAGAAAGTAGAGCCAACATCCCTACCTTCCCCTTCCGCCTCGTCAACCAAAGAAATTCTACTATTATCTGTTAATATATTGGACTTATGTGAAGATTTTCTTTCTTTTCCTTGGCTAAAAAACAAGTCTGGAAGAGGACTGGGCCAAAGACGATATGTGTTCTCTGTCACCCAAACTCTTAGGGTGAAATCATGTCAGAATGGGAGAGTGGGGCTGCGATAAGGGCCTTTCCACCTGTAAAATGTTAGGGTTCTATGATTCTACATGTTCGCAGAAGCATCTAGCTTTTAGGGAATTTTAAGGAAAAAATATAATACTTTTTAACGAAGTTAAGTCCATACTTAGAACCAAACTACGCTTTGCCAGCTTATAAAATTTTCATCACTTTTCTCACCCTTCCTGGTATTAAACTAAGGGCACAGAGCAATGCCAGCGACTGTCTCTGGGAGGCTCAGTTTCCTCATCTGTAAAGTGGGGACACTAACAGTGAGTGTCTTCTTAGGAGGAGACAACACGCAAAGTCCTGTTGGGCAGTGAGCTCACAATCAATGGAAGGGGCGATTATTATTAATTACTCCAAAAAACTAGAGCTACGTCAGGAACAAGGCAGGCTGGAAGCTCACCGTGGGGATTTCTCCCAACTTTCTTTCTTTTAGACCTTGGGATCTGACCACCGAAACTGATTGTTTTGAATGTAGGGTGAAAATCGCCAACTATTCTAGTTCCAAGCCTAATGCTCCATTCCGAGCAAAAACCTGGAATTGGAAAGAAGTCACTGTTTTACTCCACACGCTGCCCCTGAGATAAGTCAGCAGTGGCACTCCACCAGGCTGGCAAGTGAAACACCACCAGCCACCTCAGGTGAGCCCACGGCTTAAGGGCTTTTTCATGAGGAAAACAGAACGAAATCCACCCATAAGCATAAACTTACACTAAACTTATAGAAGGCCAAAAACCAACATTATTTTAGAAGACATTTCACTCTGAAGTCATCTGAGAGCAAGAGAACAGTTTCCAGTTTGGTGCTATGACATGCACAGTGGGACATGTGGCTTTAGCTGACTCACTCAAGCAGGCTTTGGAGACAGCCTTCCGCATGCCTTCATCTGGCCCCTGGCTAGTCACTCACATTCAACAATATTTATTCAACAACAAACATCTACTGAGGGCCTTCTAAGCACCAGGCACAATGTTAGGAATTGAGGCTACTGCAATGATGTGCTCACAGAGCTTATATTCCAGGGTGGAGAGACAAATGATCAATGAAGACACCAATAAATACAACCGTGGCTGGAGAGGTCCAGGCGAGCACTAGGAAACACACCCACCCTTACCCTCTTCAGCACTGGGGCTGCTGGGCCTGTGCTGTAAGCAGATACGTGGTCCCAAACCACCACAATCACACCCAGCACAAGAGAGCTTTGATGAGGTTGCAAGCGCCCCACCAAGACTCTGAGGAAGTTCCGGTGGTGGCTTGATTTTCAGAGGACCTTGAGTGATAGTGACACCAGAACCAAAGGGCTGGAGGCGCCTTTCTTCGAATTTGAATGTTCCGTAGCCTGGGAAGGAATAATTTTACCAAGGCAAGACCTCAATAAGTTAGGTAAGTGAAAACGATTTCTAGCTTGACAACACCAAGACAAGACGTTGCTCCAGGCAGAATCAGATAACACGGTGAGGGCGAGATGGGCCGCTTTTTCATTAAGTCCTACTGTAAAAAAGATGAGTGCCATGATAAACCAGATTCAGTCCCTACCCTCAAGGAGCCAGAAGTCTAATTAAGCAGCCACAAGCGCTAATAAATGATCATTTAAATGCACAGTTACAATAGGAGAAGGTACAAAACATTATGAGAACTGCCTCAGAGACAAGGAAATAGAATAAGAGAACCACAGCAGTTTAGAGCTGAGAGAGAGCTTGGAAAGGTCCATCCACTTCCTCTGCACCCCCATCCTTCCGCTGCCCCCACTTCTTCACCAATGAGGGGATAGAGCCTACCCAGAAGGGCAGCATGTGCCTTGTGACACAGTTGGCCTGTCAAGGACTTAGAGCCTCATCTCCTGCTGTGTTAAAATCAATGTTATAAGTCTGAACTGACCCTTGCAAAAAAAAAAAAAAAGTTTAAAAAAATAAATGAAAAGGAAAGAAATCAAATACATTTCAAAATGGCAAAGCCACATTTTACCAAAAACGCCTTTGCTTGTTTAAAAAATGCGTGTAGCCTAAATGATTATAATGGATTTGAACAGAACAGGTCTTTTTCAACTAAACACATAGTGATCTATCATTGGCACGATGTGTCTACAACTATGACCTTCAAGTTGTCACCAGAACATGACGGATTCCCCAGTGTGTAAGCTGTCTAAACAGAGGCCTAACTTTGAAGTGCTCTGCCTTCCTCGCTGGCTCAGGCTGCTCTGCTGGAAATCGGCACTGGTTTGTTTTTCAACCCAGGATTTTTACATTATTATTAGCAAGATAGCTATGCTAATAGGTACCACTGATTCTGGCTCAATGGATTCTGGATTCCAGAACTAGAGATTATCTAAAATCATCTAGCACCAAATGCTTCATCTCAGAGATTAAAAAAAAAAGAAAAAGACCCTAAGAGGTCACAGTTACACAATTTGGGTCAGAGCTAAGACCAGAACCTATGTTTTCTAATCTTTAGTTCCTCTTTGATTGTCTCCACTTAATTCTGCATTAGCTTTATCGAATAGCAGAATGATGGGGTGTTTGCTGGCATCTTCTGGTCTTCTTGTGGCTCTAAAAGGTCGTTGGGTTCCTTGAGCTCCGTAGGGCAGACTGCAGAGCAGGGCTTCTGCCTCTGGCTCGATGGTTCCCAGAGCGTAGTTCCTGCTAGACTAGTCCCGCCAGCTGTTCTGTGGGCAAAATGATTTGAGAACTCTGGATGTTATCCTCCTGTGGAGATTCACTGTACATGGTGGCATATGAGATGCTCTGAAAAGCCCTGCAGAAAGGAACCTTAATCCAACTGGTTTCCCAAAGAACGCTTTTCTGATGCTATCCATGTCTCAGGGTGCTGTGGGCAGCGCAGTGATAGCTAACTGCAGGGGTTTGAGCTCTGCAACACGGTTTAACGAAGAACCAAAGGCGAGAAGGCTAATAATGACTTTCTCAAAGATGCAAATAAAACCCAAATCACTGAAAATCTGGGTTTTTAAAATTTTAAATTTGGGATTTGAGGATTCTATTAATTGATGACTTGGACAAGCAGTAAGGATCATGCAAATACTACCTGGGAACTCATCAGCGTTCAAACTCATCAGTTGGCTTGGCCATTCAGAAACAAACTTTTTAACATCATGGTTCATATTATAAAACAATACGGTTTAATTTTTAAAACTGTTTTTCCACTAGCCGTACTGTCAAATCAGTCCATTATCACGAGACTCTGGTGAAACATGGCAATGAAGAAATATGTCATTTTTTTTTAAGGAAAGAAACATACCTGACTATTGCTGCGAACTATTTGGCTACTTATATAATTTATTCTGGTTTGTGGGCTATCGTTTCGTTTTGTAGCCTTTAAAGGATGGGGGCAGGAGAAGGGAAGATTCCAAATGGAGGTAGACGGCTCTAAGGCCATTACCCTTTGTTTGGAGGCAACCTGGGATATTGCAAGCCATCCTTTCCAGAACCCCCACCTCCATCTGAGCAGTCTCCTATAGCTAATCACACACCCACAGTATCAAAGGCAGCGGATGCCAGGCAGGCCCCCTGTGGGTTATAACTGGGGCACTCCTCCAGGTCTAAAGGCCTCCTTACTCACTCTTTCTCTCACCAGAAGCTTATCTGGAAGCGCTCAGGCCATATGCAGAACTGTAAGGAGGCCCAACTTCCGCCAAGAACAGAGCCTTCCTGCCCAGCTTACTCGTGGCTCCTGCCCCTTGCTTTAGCTCATCTTGGAGCAACGTCATTTCAAAACATGGATTAAATGTCCACTGAGTGCCAGGGACTGAAGGGTCAGGAATTGTGGTTGTGGTCATGGCCTCAAGGAGCTACCATCCAGAACAGTTACTGAACTCTGCTACCCCTGACCCTCTCGAGCTTCAAAGCAAGGATGTGGTCCACACTAACCTCCACTGCATGCCTGGACCCCCAAATGCCTTGTTTCCGGCTGTGGCAGGGCTTTCTTTCTCATTCCAGAGTCCCACATTTTCGCCTAGTAAATCTCTTTGTTTATGGTATAAACTGCTCGTTGATTCTGCAGTTTGACGCAGGATCCACTGCAGGAGAGTGTTGCCATACTGTGGGATTAAACTACATTCAGTAAGAGAATAATTCACATGGTATTCCCTTAGGCTGGCAATTACTGTCGTCTTCCATTGGGCGGAGTACTGCGAGATACAGAGTACTGGGAAAGAATCTCCTGCCAGAGGCCAAAAACCCTAACAAGAGTCAGATTTAACAGTTTCTCTGCCCCTCCTTCCTGATGGTGGGGATATGGTATTTAGTACAAGGTCAAACAGACCTGGATTCAAACCTGATTCTGCTATTTTCTTAGCTGTGTGACTTTGGCCAACTTAGTAAACCTTTCTGAGCCTGTGTTCCCATCTGGAAAATAAGAACCATACTATCTACCTCGAAGAGTAGTTAGGAATAGTAAATGAAAGAACCAGCATTAAGCACCTAGGATGAAAACAAAAGCAACAATGAAAGCATCAACCTTTTATTGTGCCTAGTCCGGACCAGGCACTTTGAGTGCATTATACATTTTTTAACTCATTTAATGCTCAGAGTAATATTAACATCCTCATTTTATAACTGATAAACCAAGGTACACAGACTAAGTAATTTGCCCCAAATCACACGAGTATTAGCACCAGACCCGGCATAGGAGCTCAGGCAGCCCGACTGAGAGGTTTCTTAGCCTCAGGGTTTATTCCTATCTCCTTACCCCACAGAGGTGCTGACTTTCATGTAGAACCCCCCAACATCCATGTATTGGGTTGTTAAATTGCATACGAACGTTTAGGTATGTTCCTTACTGTCTAATTTTTGGCAAGTTATATTAACAGGTCTGTCTTCAGTTTCCACACCTGTAAAATGGGGATATTTACAGTTTCTCCTTCACAGAGTGACTGCTAGAAATAAACGAGTTAACGTAAAGGGCTGAGAAGAGTGCTCAGCATTTAGGCTTCATGTAGGAAGTACCTTTAACAACCCAAGTCGTGAACAGTGTGACAGATGAGAATTCTTGGGCTTCAGTACTTCGTAAAGGAGATTTTGTGGCTGGCTAAATCTAGTAGTTTCAAATGACTATACTTGTTCTCTTGCAAACCTACTGCATTTAAAAATAGATTGAAGTTCTTATTCAATCAAGGAATAAACAGGTCCACAGGAGTCTGGTTAGAAAGCAGGCAGGCCTAAATGAAATCAGCCTGAAAGCAGGAAGTTTAACAATGAAAAAAAAAATTCAGCGCAGTCTTTCTGGAGGTTCTTCAGGTTATGAATTGTATTCCACCCACTGGGTACATGTTACGGCTACTGGGCAAAGAGTTTGTGAGAAATTTATGGCCTGGTCAAAACCTTTGGATACTATAGGTTAAAACAACTTTATCCCCAAGGCTATTGAACACCAAGAATTTTAGAAAAGGGCTGCTTTTGTGAACATGCTGGACATAAAACAGCACATTAAAGGAAAAGCTGGAGAGCAGATATGTCCAACAAGCTCATGTGAGCGCTTCTGCAATAATTTTTACAGCTTTGTATTTACTCATCTTGCGCCACATTTCAATTTACAATGAAAAGCAAAAAAAAGTACAATGCTCATTACTCTAGCTGTCTTTCCGTGTTCCATGGATACACAAAACAGAATCCCACTGCTCCAATTTTGTGGGAAGGGGGACTCATCTTACTTCATGTCTGTAGCTGCTGCCACAGCCACAGCACCATGTTCCAATCATGGAATTCGCAACGTAAATCTCTTGCAGATGATACCACTGGAAAACAGAAACTGTCATGGATCCAGAAATGCCTCCAAATTTCTTCTCTAAAGTTCTTATCTGGGAGCCCAGGGGCTGGGACTGAGTGTTTTATTCAATGAGTGAGGCTATTGGGAAATCTACATTCTTTGGGAGGCTTAATGAACTCTCGACTGTTCCTTGACCATACAGTATTTATCATTTATTTCACAACTGCCCCAACTTATCTCTGAGTGTTTAAATCTATTCTGACAAGGGCTTGTGTCACACACACCTGTGTAGCTTATTCTTAACTGCCAATAAGAGCTCATATCAATTTCAGGTGGTATCAAAGAGAAGACCTCTGGGACCAACCAGAAAAGAAGAGAAACTGCATTTCCCGGTTGATTAGATGAAAGATCTTTATTAAGTTAGAACATTACAGGAGTCTTTTAAATCGCCTTAGGGATACCCCTGGGGCATCGTCAGAGCTTCAAAGCGAGGCTTTTGTCTCCCAGTGATGTTAAGAAGTCCCTAAGATTGGCTTTGCTATTCAAATATGGACATGAGCTGTTCTCCTCATTTTTGTTCTTTTTCAAAGGCAGCACCTCCAAGAAACTCTAGGATATTGTGAGGCCTAAGAGCTCGGGGTGGGAAGGAAATCCTTGTCTCCCTAACACATTCATCAGTTCCTTCCCCCTACCCAGCACCTCCCTCCCCAGAAACCCCTTCACCCTCAGCACACACAGCAGAGGCTCCCCCCAAATACACCAGGGCTGGAAAAGTTCATGTTGCAATATCCTCCTGACATTCCTATTCCCGCCCTCATTTTAATTCACTTTTTTTTTTTTTTTAACAAAATGTAATTACTTGACAGCCTGGGCTGCACTCTGGGGCTTTTACTCCTTTCAACACAGCTGTGCTCCCGGCTTTGATGCTGCTGTCCATGCAGCTTGTCCCAGCCACAGCCCGGCTCTCGGTAACGGTAACATTCAAGTGCATATTTATTTTTAAACTGACCTCTCCTAGACCGTACAGTATAAAGGAGGTCCTGCCAAAAATTATGCTACTTTCTATTTATAAGATGAAACGCATGCCTCCGAAAGTCGGGAGTGGGGGAGATGAAGTATTATTCATAATGAAAAAAAGACTGGCCAGATCCATTCGTCCTCACATGTCTGATACGAGTCTGTGTCAAGACACTTTGTCTCAAGGAGAAAAAAAAAAATCTTGACGCTTCAGCTGTTCCGAAGCCACCAACACACACACTAAAAATTCAACTGCCAGATCTGCAGGTTGCAGCCCCAGCCACAAAGGCCCCGGTCGAGTGAGGAGAGGGTACCCAGTGGGTACTGTCACCGCAGATCTGCACAGCGCACCCATGTGCGGCCCTGGTGCCAATCCACAATGGGAGGGGAGCGGTAGCCATGTGCGGCTTGTTCTCAGATGGAAAAATGCAATACGCGCCCAGAATGGCTGTCAATAGCTCGGAGGGTGCTGTGTAGCCGTGTAGCCCCACCCTGAAAAGTGGTGGGTACAAATGGTTGAGCCCTGCGTCCTAGTCGCGTCCCCCGAACCCCTCCCGGCTTGCTTTATGCCCCCTTTGGTCCTTTGGACACCAGCTGGGAAGGCGATGCCCTCGGTATCCCCACTCCTTGTGTGTTTCCAAGCCTAGTACACTGCGCACGCCGGAAGCAGCCACGGCCACCAGTGGGACAGACTCACAGACAGGCAGAGAGAAAGGAGCCGTGGGCAGGCAGCAACTCACCAGCAGCCCGAGGATCCCGGCCGCTCGCAGCCCCCGGGGCCGGGCGCCCCGCACCGACGCCTCCCGAGGGCGCACGCAGTCCCTGCCCGCGACGAGCAGATCCAGCTGGGTCGGCCGGCGCGGCGCCGCCTCACAGCATTATCCACTCCGAGACGGCGTGAAGGCGCCGGAGGCCGCGGGTCCCCAGGCTCGTCCCGCGCTCAGGCCGCGCCGGTTCGGGCGGCGGCGGCGGCGAAGGAAGGTGCTAGCGAGACTGAGCGCTCGGCGGCCGGACGCACGGACTGAACCTGTGAAGGGCGGGGCGGCGCGGGGCGGGGCGGGGCGGCGGCGCGGGGGCCGGGCCGGGCGGGGCGGCGCGCGGGCGGCCGAGGGGACCCTCCGCGCCGCGGTACCTGCGCCCCGAGTAGGGGTGGCCGCACGGGGTGCGACGGCGGCAGGGCCTGCGGGTCCCCGGGGGACAATGGGCGCCCGTTGTTACCTCCCCAGCGCCACCCGCAGGGATGCGGCTTCCCTTGGAGAAGCTGTGTTCAGCTACCTCGGCACAAAGAAAGGTCGCGGGACGCTCGATTCAAAGAGGAACCCCAGGGCGCTGGCGCTTGGGTGCCCGAGGACAAAGGGACTCCATCCGCACCCCGGACACCTGCACTAAACCTTGTTCGCCCACCTTTCCCCGTCCCAGCCCGGCACAGCGGGCGGGCGACTCTTTAGGAAGCGGAGCCACCTGACCGCGCCCCCTCGGCCCAGCCTCGGGCTCCCGGGCCACTCGTAGCCCGGACTTGGGGGGGCGGTGGGGGGCGGGTCGGGTGCTGTCAGTTTCCAGCTCGCTCCCCTTGGAGCTGCCGCCAAATCCCGGAGAGTGGATTTGGCACACTGGCAACGCCGGAGGCTCCCGGCTGATCAAGCGGGCAAGCGAAGAACAGCCGACGCTGCAGGTTTTTCCAGTCCAAGGGGAGGTGTTTCCTCTCCCGCAGGGTCCCTAAGAGACTTGCCCATGGGGCCTGCCCATGGCCAAGCGCTAAAGTTCCGCAAGTTGCCCTTGGCAGCACGAGTTCGCGGTTCGGATCCCCAGCACGGACCTACTCCACTCATCAACCATGCTGTGTAGCCATCCTACGTACAAAAAAGGATTGGCACAGATGTTAGCTCAGGGCCAGTCTTCCTCAAGCAAAAAGAGAGGAGGATTGGCAATGGATGTTAGCTCAGGGAGAATATTCCTCACCAGAAAAAAAAGAGAGAGAGAGAGGGAGACTTGTCTAAAGCTGGGGCAATGGGGTGGCAGTTGCCGCGAAGCGCGAGGAGGCGCAAGTGGCGCAGCTGCCTCCCGGGAGGGTAAAATTCCGCCCTTGGCGGCACCTGCGCCTGCCGGTCAATGGGGCGACGGCAGCAGCACGCCCCGCCCCTCCGCCTGGAGGCCGAGCAGGACCCGGTTAATTAATTTCTTTAATCCGTCTCCGTCTCTTCCGCCTCGAGTAGTCGGCCAGGGCAACGAGTAGGCGACAGGAAAGGGCGGCGTTTTCCGGCTGTGAGGTCCCAGCCTGCACAGTCAGCCTGGGGAGGGGGCTGGAACTCAGGGGAGTCGGGCCCTGGGGGTCTGGCCCCAGCCCTCGGACTGTCAGGTTGGATGGAAATCCTGGCACAAGCAGAGAACCTCTAGGGGACCTTGATTTTCCAGCGTGGTATCGGCTTCAGGTCGTCCCCGCAATGCCCCTGGATCTGTGAAAGCTTAGAGGCTGCACGTTAAGCCGATGCTGTAAACCGCGGGCTGACGTTAAGGTGAAGCGAAAAGGAAACGGACACAACTGCTCTGGAAAGCAAAATACTTGGGTGGAGTGTTAAAAGCCTCAAAGAAAATAATAGTTGGCAGGTCAAATGGCCAGGAGGTTGGAATTCAAACTCAAAACTCTGCTGAAGTGATGTTAGAAATCTGACAAGCAAAACAGTCCATGAAGATAAGAGACCCGGCGTTGTTTCCTTTTTTCAAATGACAACTGCTCCCAAGTTTCCTTTGGCAGATACCTGGATTTTACTTTAGATTCCTGAGAGTTTTACTTGGGGTTCATATTTCAAAATATATGTTCCATTTGGCACTAATGTATATATTTTATGTATGAATTTATTGAAAAATATTAAATGTTACTGGTCTACTTAGCTGAAGGTATTTTTATAAATATTTATGCATAGCTTTCATTGCATATGGTATTTTTATAAGTACAAATAGTATGTATATATACTTATTAAATGCCACATGAAAAATTCTTTTTGCACGCAGATATTCTTTACACATACATCTTGTGTGTAAATTTCTTTTCGTTTGCTCCATTGTTAGCTACTGTTAAAAAGACTTTCCACATGACGAAGTAACAGCTTATGGAAAAATAGAATGGCAGGTTGTTTGAGGTAGCATGTTTATTCCCAAACCCCATTTTCACTTTTCTACGTTATCCCTCACCTTCTAGAGACTTTCTCTCCCTCTCTGCCCTTTCTTTATGAGACATCACTTCTGGGCTCTAAACAGTTTATCCAGAGCCTGCCCCTTCAGGGCCCAGTGGTGCTGATTCCATTCATCTTGGCTTCTTTGGTGCCCCATGTTGTTTATTTGCACTGAACATTTTCTTAGTACTGAACATCTCCAGCGAGAGAGAAGGCCTTATATAGTGAATTATCTTTCCAAATGAGTTCATTTCCTGTGCTAACTATGATGGCTTTTAGGTTTGGTGGATTTTGATTTCAATATGGAAGAGAGAGAAAAGCTTTGCTTTGGGAAGATTTTGAGGGTTTTGAGATACTCCTCTGAGTTACAGAAAGGTTTAGCCTTGAAAAATTGGTAGTAACCTTAGAAGCCTAAGTGAGACTAAGAAAGTGGCCTAGAGTAGATGTTTTCATCAGGTTCAATTAATGCGCTCATGTCTATAGAGCAAGCACCTTTCAGGTCCATCAGAGGGCTGTGTTTCTGTTAGTCCCAATTGTGGGAGCCAAGCCAAGAAGTGTCAGCAGTACCCTTGCTGTCCAGAAACCTGCAGTCTACTTAAGGGGCAGAGAGCAGCACGCCAGTGTGTGCAAGCAAGTGCTGGCTGGAAATAGTCCAGCCTCTTGCCACCAAGTGTGGTCCTGGGACCAGCAGCACCAATCCTCAGCCCAGAGCTACTGAATTGGGATCTTTATTTTAATGAAGTGTGGATGGTTTGTGTGCACGTTTGATGTTTGAGAAGCACCGGTCAAGAGTAGTGGTTCTCAATCTTTTTAAGTCACAGGCTCATTTGAAAATCTCAGGGGACTTATGAACACTCTTGTTGGGAAAACACACAAATATCTACACAAAACTCTTTTGCATTCAATTTCAGGGTTCCCCTGAACACCAGTCCATTGATAGCAAGGTAGTCTGGATAAAATCCTCCACTCTCAGAGCCAGAAGAGCCACTCGGTGTCAGCCGACGGGGTTATGGGAGGATTCCTACAGGAGGCAGAGCTTAAATTAAGCCTTGAAATAGGGAAGAAATTGAATAGGGGGAAGAGTCAAGAAGGGCATTTCAGGCAGCAGAAATGTATGGGTAAATGGGCCCCGGGGGATAAATCAGCAAATATCCATTTTTATGTGCAGTAAGGTGAAACTTAATGAGATTGTAATTTGATGGCGGGCTCTCCTTGCAATTCATTGTCATTGTTTGAACCTCCAAAAAATGAAACTGGACAGTGGCGCTTCAGGGGCACTGGGAACCCGATGACATATGGTTCTCTGTACCGTCTCATTGCCGATTACCAGCTCTCCCTCTCACTCACTCTGCCCTGGCGACATGGCCTTCAGGCTTTTCCAGGAACTCCAACGAGTCTGGGCATTCCATCGGCCTGGGGCACTTCTTCCCCAGATAACCCAAAGGATCCATTAAAGTCTTTATTCAAATGAGACTTCAGGGTGAGAGGCTTCCCTCTAAAATAGCAACCCCACCCCGTTCCCTTGCCTTGCTTAAAGCAGGAAGAATTTCTTCATTACCTGACATTACCTTATATTTATTTACAGATTCATTTATGGCCTGTTTCCTCTAATTGTGGACTTTGCTGTTGTATGATCCATACCTAAAACGGGGCCTAGCACATAGTAGGCACTCAGTAAATATTTGTTTAGTCAATGACCCCTTGGCTACAACCAATATTGAGTGTAAAAGTCATGTTCACAAGCTCCATAGCTCCAAAAATAATAATATATTAAACATTGCTGAAATATGCCACATGTATGCTGAGACTGAATTTTCAACCACTTTTCTTTAGTCTAGCTGAACAAGAAATGCTAAACACATGGAACATTTTAAGTTCTAAAATTCAAACATTTTCAAGCAAGGCTTACAAAAAATGTCTTTATAGTCCATGTATAATGCATAACCATTTCTCTTTTGGCAAAGCTGAAACACAGTCGTGTGTACTCAGCTGGGGTTTTCCTCCAAAATGCCACATTCAGACTGAATTCGTATGTATATGTTCTCTATTATCCCCTTAAGTTGGATTTAAGGAGAAATGTAAGAGAAGCTGGAAGGTTAGAACATCTTGAGGAGAATGTCCTTGTAGCTGGCAGATTCCCCTCTTTGCTACCCAATTAGGATTTCACTGGTCCTGGAAATAAAGTTAACCTGTGCTAACGAATTTGGTTGAAAAATTGCCAAAAGCTAACGAATTTTTTAACCAGTGGTTTCCTTGTATATAAAGCACTTCAGGTCACATGTAGGTTAGGAGACTTCAGTTTCGCCTAATCAAAGGCAGCAGGAAATGGTACACTTGAGACTATGTGAGCATGTGGACCACAGGCCTAGCATGTAGTCTGAGTAGGGTCAGTAGTCACTCACGGTAACCACCAAATCCTAGCACTCTTCTGGCTTTTGAATTAGCTTTTGAACTCAGACAGCACCAATTTTATTTGTGGATGAGGCCTTCAAGTATAGATGCAGACTTGATCCTGATTGTTGACTGGAAACCAGTGACTAATAAAGAGTATTACCTTATTTATATATAGCCTTCTGCTTTAAACAACCCTTTTACATTCGTCTCATTTCTTCCTCATCTTAGGTTGTCTGTCCATGTTGGGTAACTAAGGCCCTTACGATTGATCTCCACTTTGCCTCTGTCCAGAAGGGATTTGAGGCGACTTATAAGGCTTTTGTGTATGAGTCATTCCTGTTACAGTCATGCGCCACATAATGACATTTCCGTCAATGACGTACCACATGTATGACAGTGGTGCCATAAGATTAGTACCGTAGAGCCTAGGTGTGTGGTTGGCTGTACCATCTAGGTT